TGTGTGTGTGTGTGTGTGTGTGTGTGTGTGTGTGTGTGTGTGTGTGTGTGTGTGTGTGTGTGTGTGTGTGTGTGTGTGTGTGTGTGTGTATAAGGTTGTGGAACTTAATAAAGACGCTAGCGCGCCTATCGCTGATATATATATGTATAATATATATGTATATATATATAGTGTATATATATATACATACATACATACAAAGGGAGAGAAGCGGAGAGAATATTATATACATGTGAAAAAACCACACGCGCCGTTTGGGTCCGCACCCTTCATCTTTGTCATTTGCCGAAGCCTTCATCATCTACAGCTGAGCGCGCAGCAAAATGACGAGCCATAAGCGACGCGGTGATCGCGAACGTGAATTTTTTCCTCCCTCGTATACTCGATCAGATCACAACCTCATCTCCTCATAATCGTCCCCATTAATCATTCCCGTGTAACACGAACGCGCCATAACCTGATCCTGCATCATCGCCAAATTTATCTTCCTCAATGGCATCGACTGATGAACACGTTGAAATCCCACGGGGGGTGTATATACTGTGGCAGAGGATCAGAGGTGAGAGACTGGGCAGGCGACCGGTTCACCCGTGAGATGAGGTAGTGAATCTGCGGGTGCGTAGAGACGGTGCAGACCTTCCGTCTATATACAAGAGTCGCGTAAGGTAAAGCGTGCGCGGGCGGCGCTGCTACGCCATTGGAAATACGAGTCGAGATGAGTCAATGTGACACCACGCACAGGTAACACCACGCATAGGTGAGACCGCGCGCAGGTGACTCCGCGCTCAGACATAGACGTGTAGAGATGACACTACGCACAGGTGCCCTGCGCATACCTATGACCGTACACAGGTGGCACGTCCGCCGCGCACGTACGTATACAAACCAACCGCCTGTTTATCAGGCGCTGAGACAAAACAGCAAGGTACGTGGACCAGCCAGCGCATCCGATACACGCTCCCTAAACCTCTCACATAATGCGGATAAGCCCGCGCGCAGCCACGACAAGAGACAATCGCCAGAAATCCTCCGCCGGTGAAGTGAACAAGTTAATCCGCCTAACCGCGTCTCACCTGCCCCCCAGTCGCACGCGCGCTCTCATCATCTTTCTATCTGTCAGCAGTAATTTGTCTAATTACTCGCAGACTAATGAGCCACGCAGTAATTACGTCCGCCAACAACTGCTCTTTTGTTTTCGAGGAGATGGTTGATTGCGCAGCAGACGAGACGGGAGAATATAATGACGTAGCGTAGAACGTTCGGGGCAAATGTTAATTGCACTTCGCGTGCGCGCTCTTACGTCGCCGCTGCCGACGTCGGAGCAGGTTAACTAAACGATTCCACTTAATTTAGAGTGTAAGTATCAGTATAAGTATCTGACAGTAATTTCGTTCGCGGTGGTTTAACGATGGCGTGGGCGTCGCGCGCGCATATCCGCGTCATATATATATATATATTCATAAATATACTTTACTTTATGTTCTTTGCTGAAAACTCACTGAACAATTATTTTTGAAGTACGAGACTCAGTATAGCCAGTATAAACCCCGTGAATGCGAAATTTTTACAGTGGAAACACAGGGTAGCGTATGCATGTGACACATGATCACCTTAGCTCGATCGAGATTAAATTCCCCTCTTGAAAATATCGTAAACGAGTGAATTATTACACGAAAAATGTGAGGTAATATATACGCATAACACGCGCAACGGTGCGTTGATTTTTTTACGGATCCATCTCCCCACGCATATTCCTCCTGCGTATAAATTTTCGCACCTGAGCACGCGGTGAGAATATATGCATGCGAACGCAGCAGGCGCTCGAATTCGAGGATCGGCCATGTTTTTTTCCCATCGCCCTTTATCTAGTGCACACAGCCCTGCCCGCGCGGTGTGTGTGAGTGTGTGTGTGTGTGTGCGTGCGTGCGTGCGTGTGTGCGTGTGTGCGTGCGTGCGTGCGTGCGTGCGTGCGTGCGCGCGCTTGTGTGTGTGCGTGCGTGCGTGCGTGCAGTGCGCGCGCGCTGTGATGTCTGTGTGTAGAGCGTTGATTATTGGCAGCCGTCACCAAATTGTGCGATGTGACGCCGAGACAAAGTCGTGATCGGTCTTGTGTACGTGCGTATCGCGCGCACCTGTCACCTCTCGTGGCACACCCCTCCCCCTCCTCTCTCTCTCTCTCGCTATACCCAGCCTTCATTATCTGTTACAATGTAATCAGCTGATCGCGGCTCACTGTCACCTGGCGCGATGAAGAGACCAAATCAGGCTAGATTCGCTGGCTCTTGACGCGGGCGTGTGCGCGAAAAGCCACGCATGCAGGTCCGCGCCGTAAACTAAAACAGTTTTCCGCATGTGTTGTGCAAATACGCAGACCCGTGCCCCCCCACCGGCGCGGCGGGGCGTTGAGTGTTCGAATTTCCTACGTGCGCGCGGGGCCGTAGACTATGAACACGTGCTGTTCAAATAAATAAGCGACAATATGAGAGATAGAGGAGAGAGTGGGGAGGGAGGTTGGTGAAAGAGACAGACAGACGGCGAGTGAGTAGTACTAATTCATATATATTATATATATATAAATAATATATCATGCACTCGCCGTTTGTCTATCTGTCTGTCTGTCCTGGTCTGTCTGTCTCTCTTTTCTCTCTCTCCCTCTCTGCTCTCTCTCTCACTATTATATATATATATACTACCTATATATATATATCATATGCAGGAGCGTATAATGGACAAATACGCTTTGTCAATTATACGCTCCGATACTAATATATCAAGGAGAAGATAATAAGATTATATTAAAAAAAATTCTCCTATATGTACTCTTAATATATATATATATATATTTGATAACTGTATACGTGAACATCAGGAGTGAATAGATTATTTTTATTCACGTATTATTTACCATATCTATTATTGTTCACTCCTGATGACATCATGCACATGCGCATTCGCCGCGGGTGCGTCACCTGATCACATTCTCAGCCTTCCTCCATATTGTCTCGCCGCGTGCGCCACGACCTCGACGGGGGTCACGTGGTCGCGACGCACCGCAACCGCTGACGGCGAGGGAGGGCGGACGCGAGATCACGCGAGACATGGTGAAGGAGAATAGGAGCAGGAGGAGGGAGGTTCAATGGAGCGGGCAGGCTGGATCGCTGTCGGGTCGGGTCGCTGTCGATCGGTCGCGCGCACGCACGCATACACCACCACGCGGCGCCGCGCACAACACACACACACACACACACACACACACACACACACACACACAAAAACACACACACACACACACACACACACACACACACACACACACACGCACACACACACACACACTCAACGCGCGCACACACACACACACACACACACCCACACAACGCGCACACGCACACGGGTTGCCGTCCAGAGAAGAGCTTTCGTCGACTCTGCTCTCGCTTAAGTGCGTTTCAGTGTCGCCTCTGCCCCCGGCGCAATTTACCCGCCGGATGTGATGGATAGCGTGTATAGTCATCTAGCCGCCAGCTTTCGCGGCTTTCCGGCGAGTATACGAAGAGATTTTCCCGTTCGAGTTTTTCGTGCGGGCTTTTCTCTCTCTCTCTCTCTCTCTCTCTCTCTCTCTCTCTCTCTCTCTTCCACTGTGTGTGTGCGCGCTAGTCCGGATAATGAAGCGCGTGGAGGTATCTGTTGGCACATATCGGAGCGCGGAGATTCCGAGCAGGCATTCGCTGAGGCTGGCCATAATCTCGCCCCTCGCGGGCGATGCTCCGCCGCAATCCTATTGACTTTGCGCGTAATTTAGACTCCATTGAGAAGAACAAGAGCGAATAATGGAGGACGTCAAAGAAGAGAAAGAGGGGAAGACGAAAAGAAGGAAATGAGGGAATGAAAACGACGGCAGAAAAAAAAGCCGAAGAACGAAGAAGAAGAAGAAGGAAATAAAGGAGAAAATGAAGTAAGGAGACCACATTCAAAGAAAGCTGAAGGCGAACAGAAATAATAATAAGACAATGAAACGGAAAAAAGACAAAGACAACGATGAAGAAGAAGAATAAAAACAATAACAAGAAAAAGAGCAGAACAACGTAACAAATAATAACAGCAGCAACAACAATGCCAAAGAAGTATAATTAGAAAATTGATTTGCGATTTTAATTATTAGGTTCAGCGATTAGAAATTGCGATTTCAATATCGCTTCCATGCAAACAATCTAATACAGGAATTCATTACGCTTGCTTTTCCCGGAATTTCAACGCTCTAATAGCTTGAACTAACTTCAGTTAATTTATCGCTTAACTGACGTTAATTATTACGTCTCCCTTGACACGCCTGCCGTTCAGAACTCCATGCTCTCTCTAATCGCTAGACTTTTCCGTCTAGGAACGAACCGAATAAAAGAAAAAAAGAATTAACTAAAAATAAGAATTTAATACAACGCGAGCACGCGCCGTCGATCAGCCGCATGGATCTTTCACGTCGTCGCCATTTTGCCACGTTTCATGAAACTCGATATGCAATCGGGCTCGCGTAAGT